ATTTGCTTGATTTATCCCCATTGTTATTATTGTTATTATATTATTAAACTTTTTTCCCTGTCTTTTATTATTCCAGTAGGGCTTGACCTGACCTAGTCACTACTCTACTGAGGTTAGGCTTGACACTTACTGGGTACCGCCGTGGTGTACTAATACTACACTTTCACGCACCTTTTTGTGTAGATCTAGGTACATCTTATCAGACCAGGCATCAGTGAATTGGCCATACGAGGAGACTTCGAAGTATATCTGCCAGTGTCCGCAGACTCCGGAGTCCCATTTTATCCTTATTATGTTGCTTCCTTATTTTCTTTAGATTCTGATATATAGAGATATTGAGGATAAATCCTTAAAAGCTTGTGACTTATTTCTACCGGGTTTTGGGAGTTGAAATTATTAAATTTGCAGTTCTTATATATTCGACTGTTGAGGATTAAATTTCAATTTACATTCAGTTATTCCGCATTGATAGGTTAATATAGTTTTAAAGATTAGGTGCTATCACGACATCCTACTGAGGCATTCTGCCGATTCAGTTAAGTTCTTCGGATTTGGGGTCGTGACCGGAGGGGTCTGATTAGGTACGTAGAAGTAGCTTTATCTTGTTTTTTATAGGCCGCTAACATGGAGTGATGTAAAAGTAGCACGAACGATTCTCGTTTTTTATTGAGTTTTAATTTGACACGACGCACTAAATTCATCTTGAATAGCTAAGATTAGATGACAGCATTAGCTTTTAAAGATGAGATATTTCTTTGTATTTTTGGTTGGATCGGTTTTTGCTTGCATATCTAGTACAATTAAACCTCTTTATGACATGCTCATTTGTTTCGAATTTTTTTGATTGTTATAACGAAGGGCTATTAAAAAAAATATATATTATAATATAACATAAAAATTAATTCCATAAAAAATTTGACTTTTATAATGAATGACTATATTCGAGAAAGAAACATTGATCATAAATTCTAACGAGAATATACATAAAAAAGAGGTATGTTATGCATTTATTCATTCATTCAATGCAAAGATTATATTACTAAATTTTGCTTAATATTTTATTAGTATAGCTTATCTTAAGACGGGGTCATTATTGGCCCGTTGCCCCTAACCCTACAATATTTCTTGCCAAACCCTGAGGTCTACACGTTTTACCATTCCTTCCATAATTTACCGTCAAACTTCCCACCAATTTAGCTATAACCTAATTAAAACAGAAAAGGGCCAAAACTGTCCCTAAATTATTCGCATGGGTTTAAAAATACCTTTCATCCACCTATTTTGTAAAAACTGCCCTCACCATTAAAAATCTCGCTCATTCATGCTCTTATTTCTTACGGACCTTTGCTGAATAATTTTTTTTTGTTATATAAGACGTGGCAATTAGTTATTGCTCAAAATTAAAAATACCACTCTAACCCAGATCTGATCTGTAAATAAGTCACCCACAATCCATCTTAGTCGTTCCAACCTGTTAAACCCCTTTTTGCCCCTCAAACACCCGATTCTATACACGACTTATGATCCAATCGTTATTTTGGTTTCATTTGTCAAAATTTCATATTTTTCTTTTTTATTAATTTATTATTTGGTACCCTATCCCTTTCCTTGTTCATCTTTCCCAACTTAATCATCGCCAACATTTTTCCAACCAAATCATCGCCGTCGAACTGTGAAGCTAATTTGCTCACATGATTTCAATTAACTCCAAAAAAGCTACATAGTGGCACAATAAATATCACTTTGGTAGAAACATAACTTATTAAACCATAAAATCTTAAAATGAACCATTAATTTAATTCTAAAGAATACGAGATTTCACTCAAAAAATTAAATTAAATAAAAAAAATATTAATTTAAAAATTAAATTAAGGCCAAAAAATCTGAGTGTAAGAGGAAGATATGTGGTTGTTGAAGGGTGAAGATCTTAAAGTTGAAGCCGACAGTGGTCCTCAGTCGCCAATGGCGAGTTATTGTACTTTGGCCATGGAGTAGAATGATTAGAGAAAATGTAGAGTGGAAGTGTAGGGATGAAAGAGGAGAAGTTGAGAGGTGAAGTTAGCGCATTTTAAAAAGTGGGTCATGGGTCGAGTATGGATATTTTAGGTCATTGAGTGGGCTAATAGGATATGGGATGAGGTTTTAATTTAAGTCATTAGGAAATTGACACATAATAAGTAATAAAATATTATCTTAATCAAAATAGGACAGTTAGTTTTCAGGGTATGGGTGGGCCGGAAAGTTAACGTTAGGGGCAATTTTTACAAAATAGATGGACGAAGGGTATCTTTAAACCTAAGCGAATAAGTTAGGTGCGGTTTTAGTCCTTTTCCGTAATTAAAAAAGCAACCTTTACTAACATTTAATATTCTTTTTATTGACATGTAAATTTTCAGTCACGCTAATACAAATTTTACAAACTTAAATATTCCATCGATTACACGACCATGAGCGTCTTTATTTTTCATTAAAAAGATTATCGCATGAGACGTGCGTTTATTTGCTTGTTTGTAGTAATTCTACATTAAAAACTTATAATTACGGTATAATGGGCTAACCATGAATAAATGTATCTCTACAGAACTTAAATATAATATGCACCACTGAGAAAAAATCTCAGCTCCAAGAATTAACAGCACGTATTTGTTAATTGTTGTGATTCTCCCTATCCCCACATCCTTTTTTAAAAAAAAATTTAATATCTTTGTAATGATCTTATTCAACACCTCTAATTGATTTTAAAAAAAGGCTGACCTCGTAAGATTCTACTTAAAAGAAGGTAATTCTTGAATTCTTTTCTAAATCGTCTTAGTTTTCATTAGTTCGACTATGAAGGGCTCGAAATCAGTCTTCTCAGGCATAGGACATGTTGCGGGGGATGGCATCTCGACACATTTGCCGCACACAGCATAAGCTGAAATTTATATCATGTTATTAGTTGTTGTTAATCACCAGAACAGATGCAGAAGTTGTTATGCTTCCCCTAGTACTACCGAAACATTTGCTCAGTGTGCTCAACTTGCTTTAAGCAAACCATAACTCTAATGTGACTAACAAACAGAAAAATGGATATTTCTTTGAGCAATACAGACTACAACATCAGTGCGGACTTTTTCCCTAAGCACCTGGAGCAGAAGTAAATGTCCACCGCTCTTATGGCAATGTTGCGGCTACTCCTTGTTTATTTCTGTTAAGATCGGGAATCCGGGTAGTGTGAAATTTAACAAAATAACGGTATAATGACAATAATAAAGACAATACAAGTTGATAACAACGACAATTAAAGCATATAAAGAGACACCAATTTAATATGGTTCGGTCAGTGTGACCTACGTCCACAAGCGGAGAGGAGCAATTTTACTATACTAACGAGAGTACAAAAGAGAGTACAAAATTAGAGTAAATACTCTAATTAATCCAAATACCCTAAGACAATAATCTCACAAGTTCACTCCAAAGAAAGAGTTCACACAAGTGCTTCCCAACACTAACTCTCATACAAAACACTCTTAATAAAGGAGGAAAGGAAGATATAAGAAATGAAGACTCAAGTCTTGTTGGTGTATTTAAAATGAACTAATGACCTTCCCTTTTATAGGCAAAAAAGTCTTGGCCTCTTAGGCATAAAAGAAGAGATACAACTTGTGCAAATGATGTCTACCACACAATGCAATATTTTTGGGTCACAAAGAATATTGCCAACAAAGTCTACACTTTGCAAAGATACTTATGTTTATGTGAGATGGGCTCCATTAGCCAAAATATTGGCCATAATTACAAATCTCCACCTTGGCCTAATTTTGGCTGATATAGTAAGTTTGCTCCACCTTCTCCGCAAAAGCTCCAATGGGCATATGTCAAAATTTAATTCCATCAAAATTAGACAAGTTGTCTGATACCGAAACTGTAGTAGGGTCTATAACAGTGGATCCCAATAAAGTATACAACGAACCAGATCTGTGTGGTTTCATGATCACAAGAGCTCCTTGAAAATTTTTTAGAACTCTACTTTTACCAGTGAATTTGCACCCAAGGGATTCTAAAGTGCCCAAAGAGATAGATTTTTCTTCAACTCAGAAACATATCTAACGTCGGTGAGAGTTCTCACCACACCATCGTGCATTCTGATACGAATTGTACCTTTGCCAATAACGTTACAAGTAACATTGTTACCCATTTGGACAACTCCACCTTCAACTGAATCATATGTAGAAAATAAGTTTCTGCTAGGACACATGTGATATGAACAACCAGAATCTAAAATCTACTCATTGTTTAATCTGAAACTAGTTTCAGTTGCTAAAAATATAGTTCCCTCAATCTCATCAGTTACTACACTAGCTTCGGCGGTGTCAGTATTTTTGTGCTTATTTTTTATTTCTTTATGCGTTTCTTTATTTTTCATTTTATAGCTTTCAGAGATAATGTGATCTTTCTTATCACAATAACGACACTCTAAATTATTGTATCTAGATATGGAGTCGGATTTGCCCCTAACAAACAAGTCAACTTCCACTTGAGTTCCATTAGCTTCCCCAGTAATATCACTATCTATCTGTTCTTTTGATTTTAAGATATATTTAATATCCTTATGAGAGATATTATCCTTTGTATAAAGCATAGTATCTCTTATATGCTTAAAAGATGGGGGTAGAGGACAAAGCAATAACACGTCTTGATACTCATCTTTAATTTCAGCACCTATATTACTCAAATCCATAAGAATGGAATCAAAGGTGTCAAGATGAGAGAGAATAGAGGTACCTTCACTACAACAAATTTGGCCTAAGACCACACTAATTTTAGACAACGCTGGGAAAGTGTTGCCAATAGTGTCTATGGGAACGCTTTAAAAGTGTAGCCTTTATTTTGAGCTTTTGGCCACGGAAGTTTAAGCTACGTTTCTAAAGTGTACTTTCTAAACGTAAAGGCAACGTATTTTAAAGGTTGCCAAATCATAAAATATTTGGCAACACTTATTCACCTATATACAACGCTTTTAAAGCGTGCTATCTTTTTAATCACAAAAACAACACTTAACAAGTGTGCTCTAAAATAAAGAAAAAGATTTCATCAAAAATTTTCCTCAATTATTTCTTTCAGTAAATTTTTTCCCTATTTTGAAAGGGCAAAAGAAAGAACCATCGAAGTCTTCACCCTCTCTATAGACCCGTTAAAATCTCCATCTCCACCACTAAGCCGCTTGGTTCCACCGGTACCAAATCCAGCATCCCTGAAATTTTCTTCTCCATTGACCCAATATATGCGTCTAAGAAAGAGAAAATTTCAGCATTCAAAAGGTATAAATTATTTTATTTCTTTACATGTTCCTCTACAACTTTAATCCCTTTAATTCTTCTAGGTTTTTGCCAAAATTTCTCTTTATTAGGCTTTGTGGCTTCGATTTTTCTTTGTATTAGGGTTTTCAAGTGGTAAATCAACTAATTATTCCATGAGTGGGATTTATTTTTAATTCACATTCCCCTGATTGAAGCCCAATTCACATCACCTAGAAGATTGAAGTACGTTACCCTTCCCTGTAATTTTAAGCTTCTTCAAGAAGCAAAAGGGAACCATCAAAATTCAGTTAATTCATAGTCCATTTACTCACTAACTCTTTTATTATAATTTCTTGCATTTTGTTCTTGGGTTGTATTGTTAAAGGTCACTTGGTTCAGAAAGGTTAGTGGGTTCCTCTTATTTTGCATTTTTTCTCAATTGGGTTTCTTAAAGTTTCTATATTTTGATGTTCTTTATCTGAATTTGCATCCATGATAATTTGCTTTGCTTATTTCTGCATTGTTTATACAGAAAGTGAGTTTCTTTCTCTTGTTATGTATTTTCCTCAATTGGGTTTCTTAATATTACTCGCAGTTTATATCAATTGATCATTTGTTTCACTTATGGCTGCGTTGTTTATGCAATCTTCTTTTTTTTTTCATTAGTTACAGAAAGTGGGTTATACAATTTTTCTCAATTGGGTTTCTTAAAGTTTGTACCTTTTTGAGATTTTGATCCAAATTTGCATCAATTGATTATTTGTTAGTTATCAAGGGAAAAATAGGTGAGATTTCGAGAAAATAAATCGGGCATAAACTTGTTTGATCAACTATTCTTCACTCTCTCTAGGAGGAGCAGGGATGGTGCTACAATACAATTATTTAATAAAGTTGTAACTTATGTTGTATGTTTATTTAGGTTTTCTTCTTCAGAGAGTATCAAATTTTAGGCTAGGAGTTGTGTTCTTCGACTAGTTATCTGCTAATTGAGTGTCTTTAATTCACCGAGCCAGATAAATAAGATGCTCTTATATGGGCATTGAAAGGTTGTCATTGACATTTTGTAGTAAATTTAAACATATTTGATAAACAGATTTAACAAAGGAGTCTTGGACAAAAAATATGAATAATACCTAAAGATAGTACACAATACTAATTTGGAGATGTCTATTTTTGAAATTGTCAATTGGTAATGAAGAGGAGTTATTAGCCCATGTTTTCCTTTACTTCCTTGATTTTTATCTTTCATGGCGTCTCATCATTGTCTAATTACCGAAATGCAGTGCACTTATATTTCATCTTCTTGTGGACTAGCAAACATTGAGCAAGCATACAGATATTGAGCAGGTATTTCGGATTTCTGAAAAGCATATCTGCATTTTTTGTATTTTTGCACTGTGTTTCAGCATTTCAGCACATCGTTTCTGTGTTTCTGCAGTTTCGGCATTCCTGCACTGCGTTTCTGCATTTTCTGCTCTTTGCACGGCGCTTTCTTTATTTTTTCACAACATTTCGGCATTTTCTGAATTTTTGCAGTGTTTCAGCATTTCTGCACAGTGTTTCTACATTTCTGCAATTTTTGCACATTATTTTTGGGTTTCTGCACAGTTTCTGAAATTTCTGCATTTCTGGACAGTATTTTTGTATTTATGCAAAGTTTCTGTATTTCTGCACAGCATTTCGGTAATTTTTGCATTTTTGCACAGTTTTTCCTCATTTTCTGCATTTCTACACAGCGTTTCAGAAATTTCTGCATATCTGGACAGTGTTTTTTGCGTTTCTTCAAAGTTTTTCTGTATTTTCTGCATTTCTGCACAGTGTTTCAGCAATGTTTGCATTTCTGCAGTGTTTTTGCATTTCTGCACAGTTTTACTGCATTTCTGCACAGCGTTTCGGCAATTTCTGCGATTCTGTACAGTGTTTCTGCATTTCCTATGCAGCATTTCGGTATTTCTGCATAGTATTTCTGTATTTTCTGAACAGTGTATTTTATGCACATTATTTCTGGGTTTCTGTGCTGCATTTCAGAAATTTCTACATTTTTGGACAGTATTTTTTGCGTTTCTGCATAGTTTTTCTGCATTTTCTGTATTTCTGCATAATATTTCGTCAATTTTTGCGCGTGGCATTGGTAATGTTTATTCGACACTTTGTTAAAAATATGACTTTCATTTCTTTACATCGGATGAAGCATTTAGTGCAGTGTTTGGAAAGGAGCAGCCTGGTCGAATACGATGGTATGGTAGATCAATGACAACAAGTACTCTGAAAAAAGATGAGGAAATCAGCAAGCTCCAATAAAAGCATAACAATGAAGTCTCTACTTTGAAAGAAGAAATGCAAGAAATGAGAGAAGAAATGTAAGAATTGAGGCAATTGCGTCATTGCTTTAATCTATTGGTGCAAAACAATCCTGGACTAAATGTTCAAGATATACCAGCATCTGTTGGATCTAACCAACCTTCTCCAGTTGATGTAAGTAGCGCACAGGCTGTAAGAGGCCAAAATCTTCCACACTCTTTTGGATCAACCCATAGGAATTCGTGAAAAGGTATTTAGACTCTACATTTCCGCCAAACTTAAATGCTTTCTGCTTTGTATTGAGTTTATTGTCGAAATTTTTGGTCTTGAATTAGGTGATGTAGATCTTAGAGTTATTTTAGCAACTATAGAAAGATTAGACACTAAATGTGGCGAGTTTTAACTTATTGTTGTCTTTGCTCTATTGTCCTTCGAGACGACTGTTAATGACCAGTTTGCAAGAAGGCCTGCAGAAGAGAGTGGACTTTTGGTTGCCTGGTTCTTTCTTAACACCAGATCTAAGAACTAAACTATTTACCCTCTGTTGATTAGGACAATAATAAGTTGAGTAGCAATGTATCTTCTTTTGTCAACAAAATTGTGTTTCCACTGTTCTTACTTTAAAAATAGGATCTAAAGTTTAAGAAGTAATACTTCCACATAACATGCAACTATGTGGATCAGCTTTTGAACACACTCATCAAAAGCCACATCAAAGTAAAACTAAATGTCGACTTCTTCTCTTCCTAAGTTTTTATATAGTGAACTGGTAATTATAAGTTTTCTTGTATTGCATGGTTACTCATTGTTCAATTTTTATTTATATGTGACTGAAAAATATGCAGAACATGGTGTTACTATATGTTATCCTAGTCTTTGTTCTTCTTGACGAACGATCAAAGATCAATTTCTATCTTATTATAGTTTCTTTTTATGTGTAGGAGAATGTGGGTGATGCAATTCAAAATGGTGGCGGAAAGTCAATTTGATCTTAATGTGAATGCAAAGAATTTTTGAATAATTAGGATGTCTAATATTCATGATACTATATGAATATATTCACTTTTGTAAAGTTTATTATTAATGGGCATTTTGACTCATTATTTTATTAGTATGTGTATTCATTTGCATTATCTTTTTTGGTACTTATTAGTTAATTTAGTTTTTTATATCATCAAAATATATGATAATAATGCATATGCTTGAAATAACTGTGATTACAGGATATATGCAAAATGTAAATTTTAAAAAAATTAAAATATAAATTGTATACCCTAGACAAGATTGCCACACTTTAAAAGTGTGGCCATATATTTGTACGTCTACCATGTATATAAGCAAAGATTACGCTTTGTAAGTATTTCTTTAGAAGCCACGATTAACAAGTGTGGCCTATAAGGTAACAAAGGCCACGCTTTCAGAGTGTAGCTGTAAGGTACAAAAGTGTAGCCATATGGGGTGTAGTAAGCATTGTCTTTGTTATCTAATAGGCCACGCTTTTAAGCGTGGCTTGTAAGATAACATTTGAAAAGCGTGCCCTTAGGTCAAAGGTTACGCAAGTTTTGGCCACCCCCAATAAAGCATTGCCTAAAGTCGAAAAGTGTGGCCTTTGATCAAATGCCACATTTTTTACTAGTTTAGGCCACACTTTTCCGGGGTGGTCATACACCTAAAATATTGCAGTGCTTCACCCATACGAATTGTATATACCTTCTGTTTAAGGTAAAGTCTATTTTCCACCGTCCTCTTCATATATAAGGTTTTCAATTTTTTCCACATGCCTTTGGCTGTGGTTTCTACAGAAATTTCACGTAAAACCCCATTTGAGAGATTTAAGATGATACCTGATTTTGCCTTTTTATCTATGATGGCAAACTTCTCGTCCGTTATTTTATCCACCGTCTTCTCCTTTCATTTTGGCTATTGAAACTATCCTGGTTAGATTCGGCTCTGATACCAATTTGTTAGGATTGGGAACCCAGGCAGTGCGAAATTTAACCAAACAAAGGTATAATGACAATAACAAAGATAATGTAAGTTGATAACAATGACGATTAAAGCATATAAAGAGACACCAATTTAACGTGGTTCGGTCAGTGTGACCTACGTCCACAAGCGGAGAGGAACAATTTCACTATACCAATAAAAGTACAAAAGAGAGTACAAAATTAGAGTAAACACTCTAATTAATCCCAAATACCCTAAGAGAATAACCTCACAAGTTCATTCCAAAGAAAGGGTTCACACAAGTACTTCCCAACACTAACTCTCATACAAAACACTCTTAATAAAGGAGGAAAGGAAGAAAAAAGAAACGAAGACTCAAGTCTTGCTGGTGTGTTTAAAATAAACTAATGGCCTTCCCTTTTATAGGAAAAAAGTCTTGGCCTCGTAGGTATAAAAGAAGAGATATTTTTGGGTCATAAAGAATATTGCCAACAAAGTCTACACTTTATAAAGATGCTTATGATTATGTGAGATGGACTCCATTAGCCAAAATATTGGTCATAATTACAATTTGCATAACTTCACAGAGCTGTCATGACTTGCGGAAGCGACCATTCCAGCCACCGGTGACTGTGCTAGAGGAGCGATAATGTTATCGTGGGCTGGAATTGTCATGCTTTTATTCTCAACCATGTTCCACAGCTCCCAAGACTGTTGCATGAATTCACAAAAATATAGTCAATTTCAATACCAGGCATACAAGACTTTAAAGGAGATTTGTTGGGTATTCTTTCAACAGTTGTACTGGATGAAAATGAGCTAACTAAATGGACATTTTACAGAAATGATTGAAGTAGAATTGGCAAAAGAAATCAATAATTACCCTCATTTCTCCAATCACCAATAGAGCTGAATAGCTAGGATGAAAGACACAAGAGTGGAACTGATTCTCATTGGAGCTTAGCTCATGGATGAAATCACCGGTGGTCAATGACCAAACTTTAACGGACTCCTCACTTACTGATGCCAGTAGATTACCATTGAGATCCCAACAAAGGTAGTTCACCACTCCAGAATGTCCCTGTAAACACTTTTACTTTGGGATGGCTGGAACATCCAGAAAATACAAAAGTGCCAGAAACATAAATTGACCGAGTAACAGTCAATTTAATCCACCAAAAGTGGGAAGGTAACGATGAACCTGGAAAGACTGTAGTTGCCTGTCATTTTCGACGTCAAAGATTGAAACCACCTTATTTGATGCGCCAGCCAGCTGATGACAAGTTATGGGCTGGAATCTCACTTGTGCACTGCCTCCTTGCTTCAAATAGAAAGAGGAGACAAATTGAAGATAGTTCAATGCAAAATTATCACCTATACTTATTCGAACGAGGTCGAATATAACATATACTTAGTTATGGCTGAGGGCCTGATAGATGTTAATTTGAACGATGTCGAATATAACCTATATTTAGTTATGGCCAAGGGCCAATTATGTGTTAATTCGAACGAGGTCGAATATAACCTATATTTAGTTATGTATGCCTCTAGGTGCGGCATTTGTCGACGTTGTGAACTTTAAGGCAATGTTTCCTTGGTTGTACATTTGGAGAAATAGAAATAAACTTCATGCATTTGTGCATTGTTCATACACTTGGAGAAATTTACATATATATTTTTTTTGTCGTTGGCTGGTTGTCACGACCCAAATTTCCCCCCGTAGGATGTCGTGATGACACTTAGTTTTAGGGACTAGGTAAGCCTAACACTTACTGAATTAGAGATGACTCAACCAACAAGTATTAAATGTAAAATAGAAATTTCCTACAATCCCAAAACTGGTAGTACAAGTCACAATCAGGCCCTCGGCCTCACTCAGTCATCAATCTCTCCAGTCTCTCGGGCCCACAATGCCATGAAACTAGCCCAAAAATGATGATAGGATGTGTCAATATATAACAACAGAGGCTGAGATATAATATGAAATGAATAAACATGAATGAGTATGAAATTATAATTTAAACAAATAATTCAACAACAATACGACCTCTGTAGGTCTCAATAATACCGGCATATAGATTCAACATGATTTTTAGCTCAATTTCTCTAATACATAAAAGTACATAGAAAATGTCAAGATTTATTTGACTACACAATTTCACGGAATCAATTACGTCATATTTTCTACGGTGCATGCCCACACACCCATCACCTAGCATGTGCGTCACATCCAAACAAATCACATAACACGTATATTCAGGGTTCATACCCTCAGTTCCAAGTTTAGAAATGTTACTTACCTCGAACAAGCCGAATCCAATGCCGACCAAGATAACCAATACTCCGGAAATTTCCTTCCACGCTTATCAACCTCCAAACGCCTTCCTATCTCCTCAATTCAAGCCAGACGAGCGTATCTATTCAAACAGTGTGCGAGTTAATCACAATGTACTCTAATGCTTACAATTTAGCAATTTATAAAATTTTCAACTCCGCTTGAAAAGTTGACAGTGGGGCCCACATCTCGGAATCCGACGAAAATCATAAAATTCGATAACCCATTCAACTACGAGTCCAACCATACTAGTTTTACTCAAATCTGACTCCAAATCGATATTCAAATCTCGAAAATTCATTTTATGGAATTGTAGTAAATTTCTCCGATTTCTCTTGAAAAATCAATAATCTAACACCGAAAACGAAGATTAATTCATGAAATATAATTACAAGGGAGTTAAGAACACTTACCCCAAGTTGTGTGGTGAAATTTGCCTTTGAAAATCGCCCAAACCGAGCTCCCCAACTCTGTTTTTGTAAAAAAATGGCAAAACCTCCCGTTTACAGGGATTTTAATGTTCGAGCGCCACAGGTGGCATGGGGCGCTGCATGTGGCGCTATTTCCAGAACCTCTAAACATCCCAGCGCCAGGGCTAGCGCCCCACGCTACCCTGGGCGCTAGTGACGGGATTTTATTTTTCCCGACACGGAAATGGGCTTAACTCTGTCATACGATGTTCGAATTCGACGATTCTTTTTTATATGGCTCCGTAATTTAAATACGAATATAATGATTCAATCAAAACTTAATATGGATCTCATTTGCTTAATGTGATACCACGTATTCTTGAAGAATCGACGTCGAAACATTCTAGAAATATCCAAATTAAATTCCGTTAACCATCCGAAATCCACCCGAGGCCCTCGGGACCTCAACCAAATATACCAACAAGTCCTAAAATATCATACGAACTTAGTTGATGCTTCAAATCACATCAAACAACACAAATAAACAAGAATCACACCCCAATTGAAGCTTAATGAAACTAAAATATTTTAACTTCTACATTCGATGCCGAAACCTATCAAATCATGTCCGATTGACCTCAAATTTTGCACACAAGTCATAAATAACATAACGGACCTATTCCCATTTCGAGAATCAGATTTCGACCATGATATCAAAAAGTCAACTCCCGGTCAAACTTCCAATCTTTCAATTTCCTATTTTTGCCATTTCAAACCTAATTTAACTACGGACTTTCAAATAATTTTTCGGACACACCCCTAATTTCAAAATCGCCATGCAGAGCTATTGGTATCGTCCAAACTCTATTCCGGAGTCGTTTGCAAAAAAAGTCAAACTCCGACCAACCCTTTTCATTTAAGCTTCCAACATGAATTTCATTCGTTCGAACTAATCTCGAACACATAAAAAATCAAAACCGACGATTCACACACGTCATAATACATCATATAAAGCTATTCAAGACTTCAAATTGATGAAAGGTCTGGTCATTACAAAGAGCATGTTTGGAAAGCCACAAGGGAATTGGATTTGTGTGTAATTATACAATTTGGCATGTTTGTTTGACCAAGTAATTACTTGGTTAGTGAGGAATTAGATGTAATTGAGAGGGGGTAATTACACTCTGCAATTCTCAAGGGGGAGTAAAGAATTGGGTATAATTATATGATGTAATTATAAGGCAACCTTTCAAATTCTTTTTTTCCTTTTAAATATATTTTTCATATGAGGAAACAAATAAGACATATTTCTCATCATGTAATCCGACCTTTTCATGTTGCATATAATTAATTTATTGCTAGCTGATTCATTAATTTCATTTGGAATATTAATTCTAGCTTCTTCCCATGGATCGTAATCCTTCAATGGACTAGCTATGC